TAGTTCTTCTGCTGCCACTTAATTTAAAGATAATTTGATGTATGTAGGTCCTTACTTTTTATACAAACAACTATCTTTATTTCATGGGTGACTTTTGCTGGATTTCACAATTAATTTTGATTATTCCCAAATTTATTTCCAAGTTATAAAAATTGTTATTGTACAAAAAAATTGTTGCAAAAAAGCATATAAAAAAAAATTCACAGTAATGAAAACTTGGGAATCCAAAATTTTAAGATTGCAAGTCTAGATCTGGCTCAGAATGTTTTTAATTTTCTCATGGAGTTGGCTCGATTCCAAAATGGTATGATATGTTGAGCTACGGCCTCTAGGAGTAAAGCTGAAAAAGCGTGACACACTGACATTGACATTTATTATATAAAAGAAGATGAGCGATTGAGAATTGTGTCCCTTTAATGTGTGACACAGTGACATTCACATTTATTATACAGATGACAAGTAGAATAATAAACGAATCACTTTGTTTGGTACACTGATTTGACAATCTGATTTATCAAGTTTGTCTTATTGGCTCTTACTTTTGTAGCTGGTTCAATTCCAGATCAGTGCATAACTATTTTGATAAATAATGACAAGTGATTGCAAAATACCTACTCCAGTTCATCATTATGATTCAAAACCGTAGAAAGCAAAGAATCTCAAGTTATGAGAAAAGAAAACTTTCAGCATTATCCAAACCTAAAAAATAACCTGTTTCTCTGTCTGCCTGCTTTGAAGTCGAAGGTCAATTTTTCTCACCTCCTCTATCCAATATGGAAAGCTTGAAATACGACAATCTGCTTGGTTACATAGCCTCAGGTGTTTTTCTTGACATATTATAGGCATTGAAAACATCGTACAAACCTGCCTAAACGTAGATGACCTTCCAATGTTCAAGTTATACTTTTCTACAATTATTTGTAGCATTGATAATCTCAAGTACAGTTATTTTTTGGGTCTGGGCACACTCAATAATTAAATATTCTGATGCATCATTTAAATGAAGTTACTGAGTTTTCTGCACATTTACTTGCCATTTTATTTTTTTGCTGACACTTCCTTTTGGATGTGTCGTTTGGTGTAACAGATAATGGCTAGGAATGGGAAATTGAAGAACTGATTTTAAATTCCAGTCGGGTTTGTTACTTTGACTTACACACAAACACCCTTGGGAAAAGGTATGGCTCTATCTCTTCTCCCTCTGCCTATGGGTTGAATAGCAGGACAGACTGGGAATTATAGCCTTGGCTAGCAACCAGTTTACCTCAGAATGAAACAGCAACCTACTGCAGGAAAATCTTCTGCCTAGTCAGTCATGAATCATATGATTGTCCAAGCATCTATTACATATGAAAATTAATTGATAGTTATTATCATATTTGAAAAGCAGAACAGACTGAGTCCTATAGCCTTCTTTGGTAACCAGTTTATTGCAGACGGAAATGGCAAACTTTTGCAGGAAAACCTTCTACCTAGTCAGTCATGATTGCCCAAGAGTGTGTGACATGTGGCACTTAACTGACTGATTAGAGATAAGGAGAACAGATACTACATTTTGATCCCAGTATATCCCGGTGGCATTTAACTGACTGATTAGAGATAAGGAGAACAGCTACTACACTTTGATTCTAATCCGATGATCAGATAGTAAAAGTAAAGCCTAATTTGAGTAGCAATGAATACCAAATATTTCCACATAAGGAAACTACTGATATTACAATTAGTATTAAAGATGGGTTGAACAGACGGTCAAATTGAGTCTTATAGCCTTGGTTGTCAAATAGTCTATCGCTGAAAGAAACAGTAGCCTACTGCGGGAAAATCTTCTACCAAGTCAATCATGAATTGAAAGAGACATGATCACCCAACTGTGTATTGCATATGGCAACTGACTGACTTCCCTCATAACATCCTCATAATTTCAATATCTGTCTATATTTCCTAGATAGGTATTGTAATTAACATTGTTCCAACTGTTGTCCTCATCTTCATTGCCACATTCACGACATTTCAGCAGTTGTACACTCTAGACTTTTTCAGGTGATTGCTGATACCAAGACATCTAGAAGAGGCATGGCATGTGGAACCAGAACAATCTACCCCCACCCCAGTGGATGAAATAAAGGGTTCAATTCAAAATTCCAATCACCTGAAGAAGGCCAGAGTGTACAACAGCTGAAACGGTATGTTTCAGATGGAGCAAAATGGTGATGAAACTCTAGAGCAGTGGTTCCCAAACTTTTTTCTGTGGGCCGCATTTTCAGAATGGAAATTTGCTTGTACCTCACCAAATTTTATGTGATAAAAAGTACATTTAAAATAATAAAAAAAAAACAGAGAGAAAGTTAAAGGGAGATAACTGCAGATTCAAAGTCAGAACATTATCAATGATAACTCTCTCCTCCAATTTGCAGATGCTAGTTACTATATTCTTAATACTTGATATAATGCAAAAATGTCACAATGTTAAAATCAGACATTAATTATTTTTAACTATTTATACTGGACTCATGCAATTAAAATAATCCATAATAATATTTTAAATTTTGAAATCATATTTATTTTTGGCATATGAATTTTTTTTGAAACTGTTTCTAAATCTTTGTCTTTAAATCATTCTGCCTAATCAGCTATTTTCTTCCGCTGTACCTATGAGGTGCACCGCAACGTTTGCCCTAAGGCAAGGCACCTGGCAATTTGATTGTAGATATGGGCTACAGAGTATAAATGATCTATTATATAAAGTTTCCTTTTAGCAACAAAATGACTTTTTCTGCTGTTAGGAAATAAGACGAAATTGCTTCATTGAAAATTTCTGTGGGTTTGAAATGAATGCATAGTTGAAAAACATTACAGCATTATTATTCAATGTGCCATTTACCTTCAGGATGGTGGCGAGCATGGCTCTCCACAGTTTCTTTTCCTTTATAGCTTTTTATAAAAGCTTTTAAAGAATTATAGATTTTTTTTCTGGTTCTTTATAGCTTTATACAATTACAAGTAATCCATAAGAATATTTTAAGTTTTGAAATCATATTTATTTTTGACATATGGAGTTTTTGAAACTGTTTCTAAATCTTTGATTATCTTTCAATCATTCCACCTCTACCCTCTTCTGCTGCACCTATGAGGTGCACTGCCCTGTTTGGGAAATGACATTAGATTCACTATTTTCACATGTACAATATTATAAAATGATTCTTTTGTTATGCATTCTTAAACAAAGTGTCCGTTTGTAAGCAGACATGTTTTTCCCTTTTCCCAATTTTTGTGTGCTTACTCAAATGTAAATGCATATTTTAGTGTCTGTGTACATAGACATTTGCATAGGTATACGTAGGCATGGAACCTGCTGGATTGTTCTGGAATATTTCTTTTAGTCATTTTATGTTCCTTCAACTGCATGGTCGCTTTCAGGTTATAAAAATAACTGCGTAATATACCGTGGAGCCAGGCTTCTAAAAGAATGAAACATTGACTGATTTGTAGAAATTTAGGACAAATTTGAGAACAATGAAGTTTGTATCAACCTAAATATGAAGCTCACAAACACATTATATATATACGTTTCATTAAATAATATAGGCAATTGTTATCTATTTATTTTATGTAAATTCTTTTCATAACGTCTGATAAGTTTAATAACATTATCATTAAACAAAGAAAGAAATTCACAATATTGATCCATATTTTTTAATACAATCTAAGCTTTCGGCTTACATAAGCCATTATCAAAGATGTCAATTACAACATATTAAGCAATATACGGACAAGACAGTGATGATAGTCTGTGATTGTTAACATAGATGATTTCTAAGCAACGATAAACATGTGCATATAAGACGCTAGAAGCGAAAATCGCACCGCATCTTATGACGTCATAATTGGTAACAGAAACCATTGGTTTATACTAACGGCTTCCTATACTTCATACTTCTCCAATTCACTCTTGCGTGGTCATGTGTCATAGATGAAAAAGATACTTGAATCAACAAGAAGAAAGTAAAGTGTTCTGAACCATTACATAAGATTGTTCCTCCTATATGGCAGTGAATTCTGGACAATCTCGTCACAGATGAAGAAGAGACTTGAAGCAACAGAAACAAAGAAAAGAGTACTGAACTGTTATGTAATATGAGTCCTCTTCTTCATCTATAAAGGAGATTGTCCAGTATTCACTGCCATATAGGAGGACTGTTATGTAATATCAGTTCTCCTGTATGGCAGAGAATACTGAACAATCTCCTCAAAGATGATGAGACTTGAGGTAACAGAAATATGTTTCTACAGAAGGAAAAATTTTACACTGACAGGATATATTGAGGGCAAGAGTAGCAGAGGAAAGCATTGCTTAACCTACCTAATGAGTTTGTTTAAATGGTTGGCAGAACAGGGATTAGGAGAGATAGCTAAAAGACAAAATTTACTAAGGGCTACAAAAGACAGGAAATTGTGAAAGCCAGCTATGATAGAAGTCCTGAAGGGACATGGCTTGTAGAAGAAGAACAACTTCAACTGGAATTGGAACACAGTGTCGTTAACCATTACGCTCCCTCCCCCTTTCACACGACCATAAGCTTCTACCTAGTTTTATTGCTTTGGTTCTGTCATCAACCAATGGGCGTAAATAATTAGCTCAAGATCCCACATAAGCTGACACCCCCATCTGTTGCAGATTTGTTAAGAAGTGGGCAGGAGTAGGAGGAGAGGGAAAGGGGACAGTGGGTGTATAAAGCATGTGAGAGATAAGAGAAGTTAAGGTCTGGGTGATGGTGAGCACTTTAAGGTTGAGGGATGAATATTAGTCAGGGCCTCTAGATTATAGACTGAGAATGAAAGTACTTTCTTTCCTCTCAAAATGTATACACAACAAACCTTGTGTATTATGAAGTAAGGAGAGCAACACACAGTGTTTGGTCAAAAAAGAAACATGGTTTAGGTCTTTGAGAAAGAACAGAGAGAGAGAGAGAGCAGGAGGGGGTAGATAAGAGCTAGAAACTTCAGAGGGGGAGGGTAATACAAGAGAAAAAAAAGACAAAATAGAAAACGTCTAAATCAGAATTAAAAATAAAAATGAAAAAGTGAAGAGGTGGTAGAGAAGAGGAAAAAGACAAAGAAATAAACAGAGAAGAGAGAGAGAAAAGAAAGCAATAAGAGAGAGAGAAAATGAAAAAGAGATAAAAGAGAGAGCCAAAAAGAAAAGAGAGAGAAAAAGAAATAGGGGTGGGATAAAAAGGTGGGGAGAACAGAAAATAATGATGAAAGAGAGAAAGGAACAAGATGGAATGGTTTGATAAAAAAGAGAAAGCAGTGAGGAGAAAAGTGAAAGAAAGAAAGAAAGAAAGAAAGAAAGAAAGAAAGAAAGAAAGAAAGAAAGAAAGAAAGAAAGAAAAAGGGGAGAAAAGAAGTAAAAAAGAGAAGGGAGAAAAGAGAAGAGAAAAAGAGAAGAGAAAAAGAAGAGAAAAAGAGAAGAGAAAAAGAGAAGGGAGAAAGAGAAAGGAGAAAGAGAAGAGAAAGGAGAAAGAGAAGAGAAAAAGAGAAGAGAAAAAGAGAAAGGAGAAAGAGGAAAGAGAAGGGAAAAAGAGAAGGGAAAACAGAAGGGAGAAAAGAGAAGGGAGAAAAGAGAAGGGGAAAAGAGAAGAAAGAAAAGAGAAGAGAGAAGAGAAAAAGAGAAGGGAGAAAGAGAAGAGAAAAAGAGAAGGGAGAAAGAGAAGAGAAAAAGAGAAGAGAAAAAGAGAAGGGCGAAAGAGAAGGGCGAAAGAGAGATAGAAACAGAGAAAAAGGCAGAGAAGAGAAAGTAGAGAGTAGCGAGAGAGAGAATAATGAAGAGAAATTTGATATAGAAAAAGAAAAATAGAAGAGAAAACAAGACAGGGAAAGAAAAAAAAGGATAGAAACAAAGTGGAAAGAGAAAGAAAAGGAAACATGCATTTTCTTGCCTGTTTCCTTCTTTTTCTCTCAGAGATATAAAAAAATGTTAGCTGAAAGAGAAAAAAAAATGAAAGAGATAAAATAAAAATGCTTGACTCCAGCACTTGGTTTATTCAGTTTCATTTAGTTTAAAATTTCCTGAGCAGAGGAAGTCTCTCTTGCGCCATAAAGAACGACGACAGTTTTCAGCTCATTTCTTTCGAGTTTTTTTTTCTTCTTTTAACGAATGAGTGATTGACCATGTGCAATGTCTTGGCTATTTTGTATCTTATGCCAAACTGTGGTACAAGCACTGAATATGCTCCAGCTAAAGGTTTCAAAATCCACAAAAAATCCCCTGACATTTTTTTTTTTTTAACAAAGGACCCTTTCATCTTTATACCTCTTGAGATTTAAGTATGCTGCTACCACAGTTTTCTTTAAATGATAACTCACTGTTGATGAAACTAATACTATCTCGGGTAATACTAATACAGTACTCATAAAAATAATGAAGTGATTATTTATTTTTACCGATGACATCTATCCACTCCTGTTTTCATGGTAAATCTGATTGGTTTGATAAAGTCAAATTGACAGCTGAGCTCAAAAATGACCAACAAGCAGTTGATAACTGGTGTAAGAAATGGCTTGTTAATTTTAATGTCTCCAAAAAAGAAAAAGCTATTTTTAATAAATATTAGAGAACCATTTTTGCCTTCTATAAGCATGGCTGATGCTAACCTCCAGGAAAGTGACTGCTTACACCTTCTTGAGCTAACATTTTCTGCTGACATGAAAAATATATATTGAATCAACTGCTAGAAAAGTTGGTTCACTGTATCGTGGCAGAGAGTTCTTCTTGCCAGAATCTATTTTACACATTTGTAAGTCTACTATTATTATTATTATGTCCATGCGTTTAATATTGCTGCCACATCTGTTTTGGTGCTTTTGCCATATATTTAGAGATTCTAGATAACATACAATGAAGAATTTGCAATATCAGTTCTGACCTAGCATCTTGGCTTCAGTCACTTTCCCTCTGCCATAATGTAGCTTCCCTGTGCCTTTTCTATAAATATTTTCATGGTAAATGTTCTGATGAACTTTCCTTTATGGTATCCTGAACTTTATGAATTTAAGTGCAGTACTAGATTGGCAGCTAGGTCTCATCATTTTACAATTGAAACTTCTATGTTAACAGTTTCCTTTCTCATAGTTCACTTGTGGAATTCTCTTCTAGTTTCTTGCTTTTTAGTTAATTATGATCTTCAAAAATTTATATGCAATGTCAATTGTTATATTCTGTCTTTTTAATACCTATTTTTTTTGTTGTTCTCTTTCCTTAATAACATTTTTCTTTATTCTTTCATACTGAGTAACCCCTTGCATCTTAAAGAATCCTGAAAATCCCCTTAAAAAATTCTGGGAAAATACAATGTTTCATCAAAAAGTCATTGACATGAATTTCTTCACTATTTACATTATTCGAGCTATTGTCCTCATCTTTGTTGCCATATTTATCACAACGTTTCGGCTGTTGCACGCTCTGGCCTTCTTCAGGTGGTTGGAATGTTGAACTGAACCCTTTATTTCACTCACTGGTGTAGACTGTTCTAGTTCCATGTGCCAAGTCTAATGGATATCAGTTATCTCCTGTTAATTTACTTCTTCAAGTTCTCCACTGCCTTAACCAGGTATTAAACTCACACTCTTTGAGTCCTGTCACTGGATCTAACTAACACCTTTATCCACTGTGCCTTGGCATGTGGAACTAGAACAGTCTACCCCAGTGAGTGAAATAAAGGGTTCAGTTCGACATTCCAACCATCTGAAGAAGGCCGGAGTGTACAACGGCTGAAATGTTGTGATAAATATGTCAAATAGAACAATAGTCTGAATAATGTAAATATTAGGTATTTTGAAAAAATAAATGAAGAAATATATCTGTCTATATTTGGATGAGAACAATAGTCTGAATAATGTAGTGTACACTATTTACATTATACCTCATCTCAGAAATATAGACAGATATATTTCTTCATTTATTTTTTCAAAATTTCAGTTCAATTCAAGGAAACATTTTTTTAAAATTTCTGTAGAAATCCAATGAAGTATATGAGTATTGCTTTAAGGATTATAAGTCTGTTTTACTATTTGACTTTTACTAGTATTTTGGTATTGTTTCTGAGTAGCCATTTAATATTATTTATATATATATATATATATATATATATATATATATATATATATATATATATATATAACTTACAACCACATGTGTAATTTAAAAGAAAAAAAAACAGGGATCCAGTCATAAGGTGGAAAATTTTAAAAGAGGTAAAAACATATAACAATTATACCCGCATTTGCAAACTATGCCAATATGAGAAATTAGCAATTATGACATTCCCAGATCCAAAAAATCTTTTAAACCAAAAATCCAAAATTTTAACACCTTGTCCTCAGATAAAAAATTTTTTATTAAGTGAATATGAAACCAGTTAAAAATATCTAATTTAAAATCTCATTGTTATTCTTTAGACATGCTAGCCTCCCCACCCTCCATAATAATTAAGTTACATATTCGCTTTCCTTCTTTAGTGCATATATGCACAATACACTTGCATTCACATTCCTTTCCATTCTTTTTGTTCCTTCAACCTTCATTTCCTCTTCCTTTCCATTACACTCAATGTCCTGTCTTTCAATCATCATGAGCCTGTTTTTTTTTTAAAGATAATTATGTAACATTCTTTGTGTTTTTTTTTTTTTAAATAAAGCATTAAAGTGGTCATTTTAAAAGTATTGCCCAAAGAGACTGTCATGTCAAAACCATGGTCGCATATTTTAATTGACCTCCTGATTTTTAAAGTTAAAAAGCTCTACATGTGATTTTTTTTTTTTAACTTATATTTATTTTCTCACATATATTGAGCACAATATAATACTACTATTTCCTGGTCTGATTCAACTCTGACCATTAATCTTTATATATAATAAATACAATAAATTAAAAAAAAAAAAAATCCAGACAACATGCATTCAATGGATGTCAGTTTTCATTGAAAAATACATCCCTACCCCTTACCAAAATGTAGCTAATAACCGATACAATGATACAGACATAAGGAAAACCCAGACACCCCTTGTCCAGTTGAAGTAGATTTATCTGTAACCATGGAAACGTGATTTTAGCTGTGTATTTAAAACTCAGTAATTTTAAAAGTTACTCCAAAATTCGCTTGAGGATGAAATGGAACTAATGTCTTTATTTTAATTGCAAAATTAAATTTGTGGCTTTTTAGCTTCCATTTTTGAAACATGGTTAGAACTGTGTAGCTAAAAAAAAAAACATTTTAAATCAATTAATTTCTAATATATATATATATATATATATATATATATATATATATAAAAATCCGTAATTGGTAAAGATAATCCAAATATGGCTTTTTAATATAAAATATTAAAAAGCTAAATCTATGAAGAGAGCTCAATATATCAGAATACAGAGCAATATGATAGACATCAAAGGAAAAGCTCAATATATCATTAAAGAGTTCGGTAATAATTTATTTCAGACAGACAACTGCCTCATCAGACCGGAGTTATAAAATTGGTTTAAATCATCCAGACAATTTATTAAAAATTACAAGAAGAAATGAATAAAAGATTTGACCGAGAAAAATCCTTGAAGAGATAAGACCAAGTGGAGAAGAAAAATAAACAAATATATAGCACAAATTGTCCCGATTAATGTTGAGCATGTGTCATGTTTGCTTTTTGATTTTGTCAACTGCACAGTGCAATAGGATTCACTCCACCTGAAATTTGGAAGAGAAATGCTGTACAGCTTGGCATTCGTGACGGAAGCTCCAATAGTAACATTTTCGAGGGCCTCATGTTCATCACACAGGCCGACATCAAGTACCTTGAAGTGGTAGTGCTGCCCTGGACCAAGAGGGTGGTTGCTAGAAAATGTCTGCACAATGCCGCAGAAGCAGGAGACCCTAGTCATCACTGTCAGATAATTTCTGTGACCACATCAGCCCTTACATCAGGCCACCTAACTTTCGTTCTTTTTTATGTTTTTACCAATATATCAAATCTGTAATTGGTAAGGATAATCCAAATATGGCTTTTTAATATAAAATATTAAAAAGAACCATGAAGAGAGCTCAATGCATCAAAATAAAGAGCAATATGATAGACATCAAAGGAAAATCTCAATACATCATTAAAGAGTTTGGTAATAATTTATTTCAGACAACTGCCTCATCAGACCGGAGTTATAAAATTGGTTTAAATCATCCAGACAATTTATTAAAAATTACAAGAAGAAATGAATAAAAGATTTGACCTAGAAAATCATTGAAGAGAGAAAACCTTAAAGATTCATTTCAGTTATAAGTTATTTTATGAATATCTCTGTATATTCATCTCTTCAAACTGAAAGCTTTTAATAATCTCTGGATTAGTATTCTCCTTGGAACTATCTCTACCAGTTACAAATTGATAGTGTGTGTATATATATATATATATATATATATATATATATATATATATATATATAGAGATTATTAAAAGCTTTCAGTTTGAAGAGATGAATATATAGAGATATTCATAAAATAACTTATAACTGAAATGAATATATATATATATATATATATATATATATATATATAGAGAGAGAGAGAGAGAGAGAGGTGGGAAAAAGAGTATTTGTGCTTGAAAACTTCACATTGGTCCCTGGCCTTGACTTTTATGAAAATAAACATTCTTTTGTTAGCATTCAATGAAGTCATTAAAAAAAAAAAATTAACTTTGTTTAACTGGAATAAACGTGTTCAAAACGAAAGTATTAATCATTGTCTGCTAATTTAATGTACATGTGTATCACTGCTCTTTCCTTGTCAAGGTTAACAAAGGATATAACAGCCATTTTACTTTTTTGTGCAAATAAGGCAATTCAGGAATCACCCAGGAAAAATTGGATTTAAAAGATATTAGT